CGGAGGGTTTGGCGGTGGAGGAGGATTAGGAGGTGGTAAGTATGGCGGTGGAGGATTGGGAGGAGGGTTAGGAGGTGGTGGGTTGGGCGGCGGGTTTGGAGGTGGATCTGCAAGACGGAAGCAAGAGGAACCAGTTATATGTCTCAATCCTTGATTTGGAAAGCAAGGTTTTGGGGCGATAAGAAAAAGTGCCACTTCTCCAATTCCTGAAACTAGGACGTTGCTTCCGCATGTATCTAATTAAGTGTTTCCTTCTGACTGTTCAAATTCTGGAGGTTGTGATGAACGTCTCGTTACTTCCATGTCAAAATCGGAAAGCTCAAGAAGCAGACACAATCCTCACCTTGTTGTTGACAATCACAATGTTTATCCGTACCAAACGAGACCTTCCTGGCTTCTAAAAGTCACCACTTGAGCAAATTTTCAAACGTCGATATAACCAAGTTGAACCTAGTGAATCAGAACCCTGTGTACGCAGCTCGGAAAACCAGGCTCCAGCAGTTGGGACCATGTTTGTGAAGGTACAATCTCAACTATGTTTTTTTCTATCCATCTCAGCCTTACTCGGGTAGACTACTCCCCATCGCACCCGGATCAAGGTCGAAACGGCATTCATCAGAAACTATCAACAACAGGGGAACAGGGAAACAGTTTAGGGTAGCACAATTCATAGCCGCCGTGTTGTTGTGTGGATTCCGCTCACTTTGGAGGAGGATGTATGCGTCATCAGGATTCGAGCTGCCTGCGCCGCTCATCCAGGACTTAACCCAGCAGCACTTTCCCGCGTCCCACATAACTTCGAAGCCCACGCAGTTTGAGAACGAGAGGCACATGGCCGCGCAGTGCGACGAGTTGGAGTTTGAGTACCCCCTCCCGCCACACTGGCCGGTATTGTCCGGGATGTCGTTCCCGGAAAAGTCGATACCGGGAAGGAAGGTCCAGTACCTGGACCCGATTAGGACGACTGCAGGGAAGAAGGTATGGCAGGTTTGAAAGGATTGTCACTGGCAGATAGGTATGGCAAGGTTGAAGGGGTTGTCACAGGCAAAGAGGTATGGCAAGTTTGAAGGGGTTGTCACAGGCAAAGAGGTATGGCAGGTTCAAATTGTTTTCCCTGGCAAATTTGATCAGATTCGTCTCCATGACGCTGTGACTTTCAAGGCCGGGTTGCCCACATCGCTCTAGTAGCTGACAGCAATACATCGGTTACTCACTTTCACCTAACGAGAGAGGTCTCTGGAACTCAGGTGGTGGGTCGTTGCGACTCCCCAAGTTTTGTGAACCTGTGGCCCCTACCGAGATGCAAAAGGTCTCCATCCACAGAAATCCAAAAGGGCAGAAGTGCCCGGCATGCTTTATCTACAGCTGGCACAAGTTTTGAGCATTTTTCTTCCGCTGTTTTTCAAGTATGACAAGCTCACCTTGCGCTTCGGCCACCGGTGTCAGTAGCAATAGGATCAGCCCCAGAACACCAAAGCGCCAGCCGGCCAGCCATTCCTTCTTGCGACAGTGGCGCATCGTCTCCCTTTTGGAGACAGCTCCGAAAGCAGTCAACCAGACCTCGGCGCATTCTTGCGGATCCTGCTCTGTCGATGGACATAAGCAGAGCTGATGCTGTGGCGCATGCGGAGCTGAGGTTTGAAGGGATCCCTAGTAAGACCTTGCCTTGATGAGGGCTCTTCCATCAAATTTTATCTTACTATCTTGGCTTCCGAAACTACGGCTCAGGAGATGTCTCCATTCATTGTCGGAATGCTGATTTGATGAAGGCGGCTGCCACCGTTCTTGCAGCCACACTTAGGAAAAACTCTGCACGACCATCAAGCTGCTGCGATTGTCTTAAGCTAGCTTCTTCCTTTCAGGAAAGCGTTTGGTCAACTGCGCCCGCCGGTTAAACCATCTTCTCCAGTACCCTAGAGCTGGCCTCTCTTGCTAACGCTCCTAACGCGGCTGAGCTGCAGACGCATGATTCGAGTTTCTTCTCCCAAAGGGGTGGTCGGCCGGCGCCTTATAGTCCAACACATAACAGAAGAATGTGCGTCCGCAGCACGCAAAATGGGCGTCAGAATCTTGCTATCTCTTCCAAGTGTCACTCAGGCAGTAGCCAAAACCTTTCCCCCTGCGCCTTCCGCAAGGTGCTGATCAGCTCTGCGCGCATTCACTTGTTTGCGGCGGGCAGCTGATTAGCGGTTGTGAGCAGCACTGGCTAAGCTTAGGCACTTGAAGTGACGGCAAGTTGATTGAGGATTTCCAAGCCTAGCCCCTTATCATCCTTTGGGAATCCTTTGTGCATGTCTTGGGGAAGAGCTCGTTTTGTAAACAAGCGCTTGCAATGTTCTTTCTGTGCACTCTGGATCAAGCCTCGTTCTGAACCCCGCAGGCAGATCGCCACTATCCCTCTGCAATTCGTCTGGGAGGTACCAAAAAATCCAAACCAGCTAAGTCCAGCTTAAAGGTTGACTTCCACTCCAGCTGACCGTTGTGGCGCCTTCCTGCTTTCAGCTCTGTAGGCACCGTCAAAGCGAATCAGGAGCGAATCAGATCAGAGAGGCCCGGTAGTGCCTCAACTCCAGCTGGACTAGAGCTGGGCCACCTCTAAGCCTGCTAGCATGCGTCCCCCCGGGTGGCTATCATCATTGCAGTACGGTCAGAATGTGACTGTATTTGAGTGGATCGGCTTCCAGAGCTGCGTCGAGCTGCATCTGGAGCCCTACTAGGGCAGGCTAGGCGCTGCAGTCGGAACGAATGAAATGCGAGTTGTGAGCTTCAACGGACGTCAGCATCTGCAGGAATAGCACAGGGAGAGAGCATGCTGGCACGAGCACGCGGCCCTGTTCGCCTGATCAACACATAAGGTCGGGCCCTTGCATGACTCGTAACCGTTTTATACCGTACCTCCTGGTCAGGCTTGTTATATATGAAAGAGTTTGGGTACGCCGACGCCGACGGTACGGTAAATGCTAGTCCCTAGGTGGATCTGTTCCGCCGCATGCGAGTACCGGTATGCAAATCGAGTCGACTCGAGACTGAATCAGTGACTGAGAGTCTAACTGCCGAGTTCCCTGCAACTGCTCGCGCATTCTTGAGTTGCCGCCGCGCTGATCTTAAATCGTTAAATCGACGGCCTGGACTCCCCGTTGAGGTGGGATCCAGCCGGGATCGTGCACAGTGATTGGGCAACTTTTGCCTTGCGGAATCCTCGCACGCCGGCCTGCAAGGATGCATGGTCGTGGATGGGCCTGCTTAGAGTGCTCCATCTCTCGATGTGGGGGTGACACATTTTCAAGGGCTTGTGAAAGAGAAGTCAATGGCGAAGCAGTCAATGGCGCGTTAAGCAGTCACACATGGCGCCGCCCTTCGAGTACAGTACCTACTTCAATATTTCGTTGGCAAGGGTACAGCGTGGGTACAGCTATACTGGCTAGAGTAGACTCTTCTCCTTCGCTCAGTGAATCATGCATCCGAGTTAAGAGTTTCAGACGTTGCTTTATAAGCTGTAGGTTATAAAACACAAAGCTGAGGTACAAACCGCAACTCTTAGCAGTCTTGAAAATGGTAGACAACGAGATTAGGCATCTGGGATCCCAGCACGACGGTGGTATGAGCTTGTTTTATCGTTTATGATAATAATAGCTACTAGGGCCCGTGGTTACTTTCAATGACAAAAAGAGCACGTTCTGTTCTCGCATGCATTAGGACAAGTAGCTACGTACATGACGGTCAGGAGTGAGTACGGTGCATGGCCGGATGCAGGAAACTCATGTAACACTGTGGATTAGACGAGTTCGAACCAAACTTCTGCAGCGCTGATTGTCATGATGTCGATCGACATGCACGTACATGCCACCTGGGTCATGCAGATCTATCATAGTATGATAGTGAATGATGATATTATGGCCCTGGCACGCAACCCCTCGGGTCGTGAGCCGGGCAAGTCCGACATGGACTTCTTCTCAGCCTGCAAACCAATCTCGCTACCGCAGCTTTCATACCTGTACGGCTGCGCAACAATGATGACTTCTCGAGAGCATACTTGGTGCAAGGCCAAACTGTACCCACTTTCAATAGACCGTACGTGTCACTGACTGTCGTCCCTGGCAAGAGAAACAACTTTCAATACTACAGGTGTCATACCTCGCTAAGACCTACATCACATCACGGAGGCCCCAATACACCTCCCCGCTCGCGTGATTTGGCAACATGGATTCGGACAAGACTATCCTGCTAAAGCGTGCTGTGTCCGTGTTTCGAATCAGTTTGTAAAATTTTGTCGCGTCGCTCCCCTCGTCCCAAACCCCGCTCTCTTTATCCTTAAAAAAAGGTGGTACAACCGCCCGGGCGCAGATATTTCCTTGTGGCAGGGCCCTGCTTGAGATTAAATCATCCCTGTCAATTCGGCCGTCCTTTGACGCGTCTCCCGCTTGCTTAACGACAAACGACTCGACCGTGACCCACCCAGCTTGGCCGCTTCGCCCCAATTCTTGGGCACCTTAAAACTCGCACCCAAGATGTTGCACGGCCAGTCTGCAATTCATTAGGTGCGAAACTCACGATATACCATCATGCCCCCCTTTGTGGAAACCATTGAACGATCCGTCGAAGACAACATTTTGGGTGCGAGGTTAAGGGGCCCGAGCAAGCACTTTCCCCGGGCATCGTCCCGACCTCCCGAGCCCTCTGATCTGGCTTCATTTCCGCCCGCAGAAACGTTCCGCCCTTCGCCCCGAGTCTTACCCCGCTCGCGTCCGTCGATCTCCCGTTCGTCTGCTACTACCGTTCCGTCGCTTTCTCCACTCCGTCGCCTCGGGCGGAACAGTCCCCGGAACACTGCCCTAATTGTCCGTCCCGGGCTGCGTCTCTTCACCGAAAGCGGCTTAGGTTCTCATAGGAGTTCTCAACCGCTAACCTGGCTGGTTATGGGATGGTTAAAAAGTGGTTAATTGTCCAATAACCAGACTTAGGCAGTAACCAGCCCGGTAAAAGCCTGGTTAGCAATCAGAACTTCCTGTGCGCTTAGCTTGCTCGCGAGCACGGCGGCGCGTAGTCCATCGCAACCGCTTGCAGCTTCCGCAGCGGTGGCTGTAGCGACTCCAGATGGCGGCTCGCCACGCCCCGCAGGTTTGCGAGACTCTCTCCGGGACCGCCCACGTTCCTGCGGCACACAGCAAATTGCTTGACCGACACTGCACATTCGGACACCCCTGGCCGCCTGACCCAAGTCCGACTGGGACCGTTTGCAGAACTTGATACCCTTAATGGACCCAAAAGCCATTCATTGAAAGGCCAGAAGTTCTGCTAGGCTCGGCCAGTGAGTCCGGTCAGAGCCGACAAAGGAACAGGCGCAGAACTTGAGCCGTTCGATGGAGTATTCTTGCGTCATCGAACGGTCCACTTTCTGCGCATCGGGTAAGTTTTGCGATGGCCGCGATCAATTTTGGGTCAGGCGGCCAGCTTTGACCGAACCTGCAGTAACAGCTCCTATGCAGTATCTCCTACCGGCAGCCGAAAAGTCAGACAACCCGAGCTTCAGAACATTTTGGGGATTGCCGAGAAGTGCCGCCTTGTAGAAGCTGAAACAATCTGTAAGAGAAGTGGCAGATGAGAAGATGGATGAGTGTGAGTAATAGACGATTCCTCACCAGACTGCACGACCGTTCTGCTCAGAAGTTGCAGAAGCAGCGGCGAAACTTGGCCTGTGTAAAGGTCGCCTTGGTGAGCGTGAAGTCGTCCCGGACGTCGATCTCCTGCAGGGGCGGCATCGAACGGTCCAGGTCGACTTGCGCAGGAGGAACGCCGCTTTCTTGAACGACGTCGGACTCAAAACATTTCGCGCAGAGACAGTCGGCTTCATTCTGAATGGCCTGACGTCAGGACAGCAAACGCAAATTCTGACTCGTCTTGGAAACATCGAAGCATGTAAACGTACCATTCTTTGCCGCACGTCGGACCCGCCCAAAAACTCGTTAGTATCGAAGATACTTCCACTCTCCTAAAGTGGAGAGGCCGTTTAAGTCTAATCGCGGGGCGTGCATCATTGTCGTTTGAGGGCTTCCTCCTATGAAAGTGCTAACGCGACACGTATCTTTTCAACATCAAAAGTTGATAGTTCGAAAGCGTCACTCGTGTTGCAAGGGGTAACTCAAGTAGCTCTGCCGCACGGTTGCAACCGTTCCGTTTTCCCAAGCGGTTTAGCCTTGTTTCAAAAGCTGATATGGCGCCTACGTCGTCAAGACGGTTGTCCTACCTAAGCTCTATGCAAAATCCAAGAAAAAGTATATCCACAATCATCGAAACATTTGTAGCGCATGTGACCTAAGATGACGTCATCCCAGGCGACAGGACACCTGGCACATGCGCCGTATCTCCTTGAGCAGCTGGTGTTTCCATCTGTCGGAGATACACAACCAATTCCAGCAGACGTTTGGTTGCGAAAGAGAAAAGTAAGGGCTTCGCTGACGTCATCAAAGGAAAGACAGGTTGACGTCCGGTTGACGTCATCAGGTGATACGACGCACCTGGCGCATGTGCCGTTTCTCCTTGTGCAGCTCGCACTGTCCACAGGGGCCTGACATTACACCAACTCAAAACCTCCAAGTCACCATGTTTAAGAACGTAAAATGACGTCAGGCTGACGTCAGCCCGCGTCGCAAATGCACCTGGCGCATGTGGCGTATCTCCTTGAGCAGCTCGTACTCGTCGTCTGTCGCGTCTCCGCTGAGCGCACGCAACGTCAGCCAGGCGAGGCCGGCTTGCAGGGGCCGCCGCAACCGGTGGCGCAGCAGGATCTGGCCTCTGCAAAACAAAGAAAAGGAACTTTAGGTCTATGATTCAGCAGAAGCTTTGAATAAGCACAAACTTGCATTTTAGGTACTGGGAGATAAGCTCTCTACACTAGCTGGTTTTTGGATCCTTCGGGCGCGTACATAAGTGAGCAAAAACGCCAGCTGTCAGCTAGAACTAAAAGAAAATCCGTTACAAGCCCTTCTTGTGGCGCAGCAGAGTCCAGCCGCTGCAGACCGGCAAGTTGCTGGTGTTTGGTACGTACCAGGCGGACAGGTTGTGGGGGATCACTGGAGAGTCTCCGGCCTGGTACGAACCAAAATAAAGCAGTTGACTGAGGGCAGTAAAGATGCAAGGCTGTGGATCTGTGGAAACGGAGGGCTGAGCACAAGCCGCCTAGTATAGCATGTTCGAAGAGGTCGTCCGGGCAAGGGCACATGCCGAGATCAAGCAGTAACGGCGGGTCTCCGTCGCTACCGTAACGTACTCCTGGTGGCAACCCGAAAAAGCCCGGGTCCGGATTCATCAAGAGGCGGACGTCCTCGTTGTAAAGCACAATAATCATCGGTTTCAAAAGAAAACGGAGGGATACCTAGCCTTTGACTTGTCCGGTCGATCCACGAAACAAAAGGCCCGGCGCAACATGGCTGGAAGAAGAGAAAAACTTCGGAGCAACGGAGTGGGATGCTCTCCCTCGGCCAATCCCGAGCGCGTCATAACTCGTGATGGGTGAAAAAGCAAAGTGCAAGATAACCCTCAAAAACGTCATCATATTCGTAAGCACCTCACCTGAAGCAGAGCGCCCCCTGGTCGAAGACCGTGGGCGTCGCCGCAACACCATGCGCGCGCGCGCGCTCGCGCAGGACCTCGGTGTTGAGCCTCTCGCACTGCTCCGACACCAGCAGCACGAACGCGCGGTGCCGCCGCCAAACCCTCAAAACCTCGCGCCACAGGGCGGCGCCCGCGGGGCCCGCCTTCGGCCGCGACTCAAGCGCCTGTTGCGGGGAGTTTGGACTTGGTTGTGGCTCCGTTTTTGAGCCCCGAACTCTCGTTGCCCCAGATTGATTTCAGCTTACCCTTTCGAAACCGAGAAGGAAGATGCTGAGAACGCTAGTGCAGAGAGCTGTCCCGACGCTTGAGTTGAGATGCGTATTAGTCTCAACATGTGTCGTAAAGGCCTGGCATAATAAAGGCCTGGCGGAATCGACCTGCTGAGGGCGAAGGCGGAGCCGTTCTTTAATTGTCAACTTCTCGACATCTTATTCTTACCGGAGAAGATGTCTCAGGCTCGAGAAGAAAGGGATCGACATGGCGCGACGGCGCGCGATCCGACGCCGTTTTCCAAAGCGCGCCGTTTTAAAGAACGTGCCTTCAACTGTGACAATGTACTACGTCGCTCCGGGCCAGATCATGTTGTACGAAGCGATGAGCAGTTCCGTAAAAGTACACCTTCTCACCTCCTTCCCGCCGAAGCCCGAGGAACTCCCTCCACCATACGCACTCTCTTGTTCCATTGACCAGCCCATTGCATCACTCCCTTCTATCCCGTCCCCATTCAAACCGTAAAGCTCCCGCCCGCCTGCCAACGCCTCTGCCACGTCATCAGGATCGACTCCCCCCTCCGCCAAACCCCTCAAACCCCGGCCCCAGCCGAGACCGTCCGGCTCCGACTCGGCCCGCGCCACCAGCTCGCCAAGTGGCACCGCCTGATTCGTCGGAAAGCGGGCGGTCGGAGTGAATCCGCCCCTGCGACGCTTACCCCGCCCGACCGACTCCAAAAGGTCGTCGGAGAAAGATCCCGACACCTCTTCGGCGTTTCTCGAGGTTTTCGCTCGGCGCAGTGTTGTTGCCACTCGTTTGGTGACGTCAGCGGTGCTGGGGCTGACGTCAGTTGCGCTATGAGGAGTGGTGGGGTTCCGTGGACTTCTGAGGGGACTTTTGAAGGGAGAGGCAAGAATCGACGGACTCGAGAAGACGGATGTGGATATCGGCGATCGGTGGGGATGAGTTGCGAGGGCTTGGGCGGATGCAAGAACAGCAAGCAGGTCGACTGCTAGCTTGTCGGCTCGTGCGATGAACAGGGCAGCAAAGCCCTGCACGAAGAAACGGCACGGTTAAATGGACATTTCTGAACGTTCTGAAAACTCTCGTACAGCAAAGGTGGCAGCGATCCTCTGTACCTCGCAATCGGGTACTTTTGCAAAGGGATATTTTTGAAAGGGATTTCAGCACAGTTCACCATCCCCAACGCCACTGACGAGAAGTTCAAGATTTGTATGGAGAGACTTTACTGTCCACTCATCAACTGTTGAATGATCTCCAGGAGTCAATGTCCGAACGAGGCAAGAAGATGCAAGAAGTCGAAAGACAGCATTCACAGAGACTTGTTGTGAAAAGTTAGACTTCAGGATGCAACAGCAGAAACGTAGACTCTGGCGGGATCTCACCTCGTACAGAAGTGTCCAGTTGCTGGCTGTCAGTTTGCCGACAATGCGCCGCACGGTGGGCTGGTCGTAAGGAAGAGCCGGGTTGGTCGGAGTGGCAGAATCCCACCATGCGTCTAGGGCGGAAACAAGAAACTCAAAACCCTGCAGAGCAGGCACAATCGTTGTTTATCCTCTTATTCAAGTTTTCGATACCGTTTTTAAGAGACAGGCACGATTCATGTTTCTCCTACTCTAAGATCGATGACAAGCTGCGGAAGGGGGGACGCACAGAATCGGCCATGCCTGTGGCATTCTCCCACGCAGTTGCGTGGGAGTTCCTGTGTTCGCTTTTCACAGAATTTTTGTAGACTCCGGCTGACAACCTGTTGACAGGAGGCTTTAATCATCTCTAGTGGCAAGGTCCTTGATTTGTGTAGAATGTCCAACCAGGTCACATCGCTGAGCAGAAGACATCCATGCAAAAATTTTGTTGTTGGGGAGAGTCTGAGCAGAAGACAGCCGGAGTGAAGTTTTGTGGTTTGCGAGAGTTTACAAAAGCATTAGGACCGAAACTTTTGGAGTGAACTTACATCTGGAGAGAACTCCTGAGAGGGCGCCTATCGGCATTCGGAGCAAACCTTTTGAATGAAGCCTGCACAAGCGGGCCGTGTCATTCAAAGAAACGCTATCCACAGCGAAAGAAAGTTTTGTCCTGCCCATTTCGGCCCTCTAGCACAAAGCTTTCCCAGGATTGCCGGGCGCCAAGCTTGAGGCAACGAAGTGTTGGCTAGAAATAAGCAAGGCTATGCCAATCTCTCCGTAAATGCAAATCTCTGAGAGGGAAGGACACTGTAAATGCAAAGTCAAAGCAGCCAAAAACTTGCCTTTTGCAGGAACTGAAAGCGCTCCCCAATGCTCATTAACATCACGCCCCTCTTGTACTCCGCCCTGGCCCCCCCCTGCGCAAACTCCCGCCCTGGGAATCGTCGCGCTAAGAGCCCCGCCCAGATTTCATCCCCACCTAGAATCTCCTCCCACCTGTTGCAGACTAAGATGCAGCTGCAGACATCTTTGGCCGCGTCTAGTTTTTTGAAGATGATCAAGAGCACTTCCTCAGGGAGAGTGTGGAACACACAGACTGGGGCGGGCAGGGACGGGTCTTCTTCTGGCCTCAGGTGCCGCTCCTTGCTTTGAGAAGAACCACGTTTCGCAAGACTGCCTTTCCCCTTGCCCTTCTCCGACTCCGAGATAAGGCAACCGGGCACCTCCTTTGCATCCCGCCCTCCTGGCCAAAGTGATTTGGCCTCAATTTCCTTTTCCGCATCTTGCAGTGCTCCCCTGCCCGTTGTTGAATCCAGCCCTCGCTTGCCGAAGTTCACCCCCCAGTCAGGGAACTGGAAAGTGATCTCAGTTTTGGCGGGGGCGGTGGCTTCAGACAAGCTGGACAATGTTGTGTCATGAGTCCAGAGTCCAGAGCTGCCCGTTCCAAAAGTGTCCGCCGGCTTGGCTAGCTGGCGACTGACAGGACTATGAATTACACCAGCCATATTCAGTCCCAATGCTTTGGGAACACCGTTGAATGTGCTCGCTGACTCAGCTACTTGGGCTGGAGTTGCGAATGCTATCCCCAAGCCTTTGTCTGCAGCCTCATTGCTTTGGGAAAGCCTCCCCGCTAAAGTCAGAGGATTATCCAAGCTGTTGATGACACCAGCTAAGGGAGGCTCTGGTAGCAACGGCTTCTGCCTTGTTTGGTAGCCAGACTCTTGTGCCCCGCGAGAGCCCAAGCTCGAATCTGACGTACGGAAGGAGGTGACGCCCCTTCCGTAAGACTTGTCCTTTTGCGGCTGCTCAGAAGCTGGCGGTTGCTTTGGGGGAGCTTCGAACGCCCGTTCCAATTCTTCATCCAGTTCGTCAGCAGAAGCGTAACCCCCTTGATCGGCCATCCTTGGAATCTGCACCTGCATGCACCTGCCCTGGCTCCTCTTGAAAGGACGAGGCGCCTAGCTCAGTGACAGCGCTTCGGGGAAGAGCAGATGAGTTTGAGCTGAACAGCTCCGTTATTTGCCTTGTTTTCATTTACAGCATTGCTGATTGGTTGAAGGCAAGCCCGGTTTTCTAACCAGGGATACCGTACTGCTATTTGATTTCGGCACCTTCGACGCCAAAAAGTTAATTATGAAACTGTCTATCTTTTCGGCAGACCTAGTGTTACCAGCTAAAAAATACCGTTATCGACCATTAACGCTCCAAAATATTTTCCAGCGAAATTCGGCAGGGCACATAATTATTTATTTTTTGCCGAAATTACGTAGCAGTACGGTATTGTCCTTGATAATCCAGAACTGCAGCCACCGTAAGATTATTTCATCCTATCATAGAGCCGGGTTCTTGACAAAAACCTTGGTACAGTAATACAGTAGCCTGTGCTCTGTGGAGATTATAAAATTTCCAGCATTTCTCCAATTGTTGGCGCAATATTGCTGACATTGCTGGGCAGCGCTGCTTCCATTCCCTGCATGAGAACGAAGACTGGTCAGAGAACAGGAAAGCCCTTCAACTTCAAGTTGCTGCTGTAGACAAGTGTCCATAAATAGCAGCCTTGCTCCATCTGCTGGCCAAGCGAACCTATTCTAGTGGTGCAACCACAAACAAGCAAGCAAGCAACAAAAGTTGCCTATCTGCGGTTGTCACCAATGGCGGCAGCTTTTCGCAGGCTACTTGTGGTTGCCAAGCGGAGCGCCTATGAGGTGTATGTTGGGATGCACGGCGACGCGCACCTTAAGGCGCTCCTGCAGGAGAAGAGTCAGGTAGGCGCAGCAACTGAAGAAACTTTGCTCTACGGTCTGACACCAATAGTAATTGATGCATCGCCCAGAGAGGTTGACAGCAGCCTTTTGTTGAGCGCGGCCATCAAAATCAGCTCATGTCCCTAACGAAGAAAGATCGAGGTGGCAGAATCTGTAGTTTAGAACAGGGGAGGAAAGAAGTCTAGCTCTTCTGCGAAGTCGCCACCACCAATGTGGGCATCTTCAGTCGTCACAGTGGTCATTAGTAGATTCGCCCGGACTGTAATGATTCTAACTTCTCATGTTTTTGGTAGCTCTTCAGTCATCATCGTAATTGAAAGTTAAGCCCAAGGCAACCTTACTCAAGTATGTGTCCTGACTGGATCTCCATAGGTGGTTCACAACCTCTTAGACCGCCACACTGTTCACCAGAAGACGCTGCAAGAGTGTGAGGCGCTGCTGACAAAGTGGAAGGTACCATACGACATTGTGCAGAGAGACTGCCTGCCTGAAAAGGTGAGGTCTCCGTCCGAGATTTGGCCCCTGTCTAGTTTGGGATCTGGCTGCACGGGTTGAAATCCTGTATGGTGCCTGCAAAAGCATACAAAGCTAGAGTATTTAATTGGTTACCTCACAGCAGGTCAGCCTCAGTACGAAAAGACCGATCAACACAACAACGGAGAGCGCTGCATGAAGTCAGGGCTGAGCCTGTTGCATCTTTTCTTGTCTTTCTTAAAAGGCTTAGGCAGGGTAGAGGTTTGAAGATCAATCAAACTCAACGGTCTCGTAATGACAGGAGGCCCTTCTCCAGAATGCAATGTCTCATAGTAAAGTGTGTATCTCATCGTCAAAAAACGTCCTCCTATTCTAAATAAAACCCTGTGAATACATCCAAGCTTTGCTGGCGGAAGGATCTGCTGATTCCTCAAGTCACGCTCGTTGTTCCTGTAGCCGTCCCTGCTCTTTCTCTGGCCAACCTTGCAGTTTGTTTCGATCTTCTGCCAGCTCAATTTCCAGATATGCGAGACCCTCTTAAAAGCTTGAGCCAACAGGGATAGCTTTGTACATGCAGATCGAAGATGTGGACTTGGTTCTTACCATCGGAGGGGATGGCACGCTTTTGGAGACATCCCACCACTTGGACGAGCGGATACCCGTCCTGGGGGTCAATAGCGACCCCACAAGCCAAGAGGAGGTGAGGTTTTCGAAGTTTCCGGGGTTTCGGGTTTTCACTTCTGGGATTCATGGGTTTCAGGAATTCAAAGCTTTGAAAGCGTCTTACCATTTGGACGAGGGATACCCGTATTGGGCGTCAATAGCGACCACACGTTCCAAGACAGGTAAGGTCTGAGGAACCCGTATCATTCCCTGTTGTTTTATAGCAGATAGGTGATATGTTCCCTGGTTGGTTCTTTTGACGCCGTATGTGTTACATGTCCAAAAAGGGAAAAGGTGGACTTGGAGTGGCCATTCTACCACCTGCTTCCGTTTTAACTCCTGTGTCGACGGCAGCAACTTGGGCTTCCGGTCAATTTCAAGCGTGGATACAATTATGTCGGTACAGAGGGTAGAATGGGGCCTCTATATTCATAGACGAGGGGTCTCAAGCACTGATCCAACAAAGACCCCCTCTGGGTTAAGCTCGACTAGGCTAAGCAACATGGAATAGAACTTCGACAATTTGAAATTTCTGCCGAATAGACAATTCAACCTCGCGCATACATGCGAATACGACAGCGCGTTTTGGTTTTCGAATAGACACCAGTCGACCTGTCATCGTTGTGTCCTTCTGACTTGCATCCTGCTTCAATGAGGCAAGATAAGCGGCAGCACCTATTTGAAACGGAAACACGCTTGCTTCGTTCATCCCTTCATTGACTGTTGTTCTTGCACGAACATGGACGACTTAGGGAGGCATGCATGCGTCGCTTTCTGTTTCGCGAGGTTGCTTCGGCAACTCTCATGAAGTGACGCTATCAGGTTCATTTGCGTACTCAGTAGGTCATATCGATGTTCGAAAAACTCAAGCCGTGACAATCAGCACCGTACGCTGAATAGTCACAAAACTCTGTCCAAAGCCGATCAATGTCATTTAGGTTACTTCTATGTCGAGGATCTCGAATGACTACACGTCAATTAACATGTTCTAGCCTGAGTCGATAGCTCGCCTTGCCACGTCCAGCCGGTGCAGTGCGGAACCCTAGCAGCAGTGATTAGACGCCGATAACTTTCGCTTCAAGTAACAGCAGATCTGAGACAGGTTAGCCCTCATAAGACGAGGGGTGACAACCTTACCACGACTTCTAACTAATCTGCCGCCGCAGATTAGTTAGAAGTGTGTTTTAGCGAGAGCTGCTCTTAGTGGCAAGTAGAGTTACAAGTGGTTTGATAACTGATTTTCTTGGAGTGTTTTGAGGATTTTAGGGTTTAGTACTTTTGGCATTTCAGGCTTTCAGTGTATCTGATGCGCGCCCCTTGACCCAGGTAGATGCGAACCTGGGCGAGTACGATGCCAGCCGCAGTACAGGCCACCTCTGCGCGGCAACAGCGTCGTCTCTGGAGGAGGTACGTCCAATCCTGCTTCTGATTTAACGATAAAGTCTTTGCATAAGGACCCCTTGGTATCTGAATTCGGATCGGTTGAAATCGTGACGTACTGAGCGGCACTTCGGTGCGGCAGGGACGTCAGCCAAACTTCTTCGCCGCCACTTCCTTCTTTTAATCTCGCTCATCCGGGAGTCAATTGCACTTCCCTGTCCGAAAGTGGACTCTCGAGAAGACCGCTTTCTACTCCTCTTAATCCAGGTCCTAACGGACGTATTTGAAGAACGGCACCGTCCGGTGAATGTCCGGCGGATCAAGCTGAGCGTCGACGGGCGCGAGTTTCCGATCCCTGCTCTGAATGACGTCCTCGCAGCGCATCCAAACCCAGCGGCCGTCACCCGGTGTTCTTTCTGGTAGGGTGGGCCCCCTTTTTCGTTTGTGACGTCCGCCTCTGGAATGCTCATCTTAAGAGGGCCTCAAGGCTACCCAAAGTTCTGAATTTTGGTGCGGTCTCGTAAGCTGCCTTCTCGACGCCATCTTTAGAACTGTTTTGGCTGTGACGGACCTCACAGCTTTTCAGTCTCTCGATTGACCGGTTTACCTTGCGGGCCGACTGGACGTTAATTGATGGGCTCGTGGTTATACCCTGTCACTAAGCGTTGCAGTCGGTACTTTCTACCCCCTCAAACAAACACGTAGTCCAAAGCTGAAGGATAGATTCATCAGACCGCTCTTCTCCCATGAAGCATTTGGACGAAATTTACTTAAATGCGGAAAGTTTCTTATTGCCTTGATCGTTGTGTTCAGGAGCTTTCGTCACAGACTCATACCTCGGGGATTCAATTTGTACGCACAAGCAGGAAAGCTTGACGACCGTTCAGAACCAGCTAATCTGATCCGTTGGAAACATTCTACAAGGTGGTTTCGTCCTTTTAACAAGAGACCTGACTGTCTTGTTTCGCAGGGTCGAAGGCGCTCCCTCCTGCTCGACCTCCTCTGCTAGCCCCACGGTTTATTGTCGATCCAGCGGCCTGCGCGTCTGCACTGCCATCGGTTCGACGGGCGCCATGAAATCCGCCGGGGGCTTTGTAATGCACCCCCTCGCCACCGCGCTTCAATACCAGATCAGGGAACCAATCGAACCGCACAGTTCCCAACGGGGCCTTATGCACGGGTCGATACTCGACGGGGACAGTCTGAAGGTTCGATGGGGCACACGGCAGGGGAAGGCGTATATAGACGGGTCCCATTTGCAGGTAGATCTGAAGCTCGGGGAAGAGCTGACGTTTTCAAATGGTGCGCCGCAGCTGCAGTGGTTCCGGCCGAAGGATAACGCACGGACTTGAGGCTGTGCCTGAAGATAAGAATGGCATGACTCAGCTGGTTGTACACATGTACCCGACGGTCGGACAGCTTCATGTTCTGTGACCCTGGCGCACGTACGATGAGTCTTTCAGCACTGCACGATGGAGCCTGGTACATTACGGCCTGATTGGTGGACGCCGTAAGTTTGCTCCTAGTCAGCACAAATGTTGCGCAATTGCGGTCCTGGCATTGCGAACTGCTCGGCTGCAGCTAGCCTGCCTGCGCAAGCCAAAGATTTGGAATGAGTTGAGGCCAGGCTATAGGCGGCATGGTTCTTCAGGTTGCATATGGTCATCAAATGCGGCGGCAAAGTTGAATGTGCTCGAGTAGTACACTGATAGGTGGACACATTGGCGCGGCCGCGCGGCCGCGCAGCCGCCATGGTACCGACGGTGCACGTTCCAACCGTCCGACTGCCACGATTGAAGCAGACCGGCTACAGAGCTGCCCGCGATCACTGGTATATACCGTATAGTAGGTACGATCGCACCGGATTCAATCATGATCGATCAATTTAAGTCCAAGTTAACCATGCACATGCGCCGGCATGCAGTGCTCGATCAGCTGGCCCGCGTGAATTGAATGCTAAGTTCGCCGCCCATGGCCAGCATCATGCGCTGAACCATTCGGAACATCTGAATGATTAAGTCGAAGTACAGGCCGCGCGGTCATTTCATGCAATTACTTCAAAATTGCAGTACAATTCTCTTTGAAACTTGGGAGCTGCAGCGGACACGAAGTACATTGTAGAGGTAGAAATATAGCATACGGTCAAATGTCAATCCCTGCATGATTATGACTGTCCGTTATGTACACTGATTCACTTCAAACACGCCGTACTAGCCACATGGGCCAGTGGCTTCTATGTCACAAGTATGAACCTGCTATTTGACGCCTGTCCTTTTGACTGTGTCCGCCCCCTTCTTTCCCATACCTTTCGACTTGCACACTACCTTGTGCGTCGGCCAATCTGTCGTTTGACAATGCGCACCGCAGTACTCCGCCACTCGACACCGACCGCACCTCTTCAACGCGTCAGACTGTTTCCCACATAAGTAGCATGTGGGCCCCGTCGCACTCGGCGCTGTTTCCCGCTCCTTCGGGAGCTGAACCGCGTCAGACCTTAACGAACCGGTCACATGAAAGTCTGCGAGGAACTCCAGCAGCATATTTCCTGTACCCTTCAGAAGAGCCTCATTTATACATACCTTGTTATTTGCATACTCGTATCTTACACGAGACGCTGCCCGATCCAACACCCCAACCTCGGGTTGGTGTGGGCCAGCGGTTTGAAACGTCTCGAAACGGATGCTGCCGTCCCGTTCGTCCAGCTGCGACAGAAGCCGCACAAGCACAAAGCTCTGGCTCCCCCGGTGTTTGTCCCCCGCGCTCTGCTCGGCTATGCTCAGTATTAGCGCGGGAATCATCTGCTCCAAGAGCGCTTTGAATAGCGTACGGTCCCTCACAACCGACTCGGCAAGCATGCGGACAAACGTGTTGCTCTTCACGTAGTACACCGACTGCGAGAGCGCCGCGACGGCCGCGGCGGCGCGGGTTTGTATCATCTGCCGGGTCAACTTCGGCAAATCGTCCAAGCTCAATACGCCTCCGGCGGACGAAGGATCGATCCCGAACGACTCCCCTCGGAGAGCCGCCACCTTCTGGTACGCCCGCCCGTAAGCGCGTAGCAGATAGTCAATCATCTGGATGAGCAGGTCCATGTCCGGATCGGAGATGGCACGCGTGGCAGGATATCGTCGCGCCACCTCAGCGGCAAACGCCCGGAGGAGCCCGGGAAAGGCATGTGCCAGAAGGTCGCTGGTTGATAACTTCCCCTCAATGCAGAGGTTCGAAACCAGGTTAGAGCCTAACCCCCATACGACAGGGTCGGAAACCGTGCGCAGCAGGTGGCACGCGGTATGGAAGGCTTGTCGGGGTAGAGGAACTGACGAATTGCTTGCGAGGAGACGCATGAGGCCGATGAAGCTGCTCTGAAGGAGCTGCAGCAAAGATGCAAGCGCTGATCAGTCACGAGAAGACTTACGTCATTCCCCAGCGCTTGTTCTCGAGAAATGGTGCGGTGGTCAGAAGCGCTTAGGTCCACGAAGCACACTCTTTGCGGAACTCTCCCAAGAGCTGTTTTATCAAATATTATTACGAGAGAAGTTCGACACATCTCGGAGGAAAAAATCGTTACCGAAAGAGCATTCTGAGAGTCAACTCAACAGATTGTCACTGAGAAAATGGTGATCTTCGCCTGCAAAGATGCTCCGAGCGCAGGATGCTGCTGTTCCCTTGTTCTGTCGCAGGACTGAATGAGCACCTCAAGCAAGGCACCACAAAGCAAACTTCGACCATGAATAAAGCAGTGGGCCGAAGTGGATGCAAGAATGCCAGACAAACACTTCCCAAGAATTTTGTCCACCCAAAGTCTCCAGAGCCGTTAAGAAGCACCAGATTGGATCACAAACTGGCGGCGTTCAATCTGTGTGCACAATCTGGGAGCAAAGAGGTACACTCACTGGGTGGTTGGTCAGAGAAGGTTCTTTGTCCGCATCTTCGGCATACTCCCTAAGGAGAGACAGCAGCTGTAGGACGTCCGGATGTCGTGCAATCTGCTTGCGGACCTTGGCAGCGTCCGGAAGCTTGAAGTATTGGTTTCTGCAAGCCAGGGATCGGATAACTTTCAATGATTGGTCGCGGAGAGTTGCGGAATGTGGTTACCTCTTTGATAATAAAGACACATGGGGCGTTCAACAGCTTGGATACATTGACCTTGGAATTGATAGCGGTAGGAAAAGCAAGGACAGAAAGAAGCTTAGAAGACTGTAAGCGTCGGTTGCTTTTCCGGAAACCATGTGTGCCGGGCGCGGCTCTCGCCAGATCTTCTTTCAAAAATGAACAATTGCTGGCCTAGACGTATAGAAGTCACTGAGAATCGTTATGAATCAAGACCATGCTTTTCTTCTCTTTTTCTCACTTCTCAAGGCTGCCAAAAGTTTACGGCTTGGCAGACACAGGGGTAAGACAACGGCTACAAAGAACGTTAAATAACGTTTCACCTTAGAAAGCTACCTACTCAATCTCAACAACTTCTTTGCAAATTCCGCCTACTTGTGGAGCTCAAACCTCCATAGGTTCGTAATCCGAGAGCCTTTTGCTTCACAGAGAAATTTGTGATCAATGATCAACCTAATCGAGCATTCTCTCCATTGCATAAACGTAGTTATCCAAGTACGGCTGCCTAGATGTCCACCTTTCTGTTCACATAAACCAGATATTGAACGGGACGATAATCCGGAAGGTGACCTTACGTGTCATTCAGCCACAAGTTGTAGAGCAGGGCCACCGCCACCTGCCTCATCTGCTTCGGAGCGCTTTGCTCCACAAGAAGAAAGTGCAAGATGGGCTTCAAAAGCTCTGCGCACAAGCGACAAATGAGATAAGCAAGAGCTTGCATCATGATTGGCCGATGGGAAGGTTTGCGGAGACGACGATTCATCCTGCAACCTTTCCATCACTTTTACTCTGGAATTTATACTCTATTATCTATGTCTTCATCCGTATCAAAGATACAACTCTGAAAACGAAGAAGCATCCCGAGATCCATATGGGAGGACAACCCCCTTTGTTGACGAACTCTGATCTCTGACATTTTGTTAGTTTTCACCTGGCAGCTTTTCGAATAGTGGCAGCCTGATCGGAAATCAGGTCAGTGCTTCACGATTTTGCAGCTAGGTTTCGTTAGAGGTTGATTCCTTCCTGGATACAACGAATTGGAATCTGGTCAAAGACTGCGTAACTGGTCAAGGTTTGGCATAGCGTGGTCACACTGTAAAAAACACGCCTGGTTACAGCAGGGATCAGGATATGCTTACAAGGCAGGGGGGAGTTAATTCAAACCTGCTTTCGACGCCATGACCATCTCCTTCCTGTGCACCAGATTGGCATACCACAGCACCGATGCACACGACGACGCCAACTCCTCGTAGTTTGTCGATTCTTCATACTCCTCCCCATAGTTTGGGAGCGCAGACCATATCCTCACCACTGCGTCGATCGCTCCTTTCTTCAGCAACCATCGGTAGAGCTTCCCTGCTGTTTTCTTGGCTTCACTTGGCGGGGACTCGACGTCGCCCTGGCCGAACAGATGCTCGTGACATGGTTGGCCATTCGCTTCCAGAAAGAGAATGGAGGCCTTAAGGGCATCGTTTGACAGGAAGTCGACTTTGCTCAAGTCCCACTTCCGCAGAAGCACGGCGGTGATGGGACGAACCGCTCCGTATGACCATGCTTTTGCTGACAACTCCGGCAAAGCCTCCACGAACGCAGTCAAGCGGTCCGTGCACACCGTCATGACTGCGTCCGCCTCCTCCGATTCATCCGGAGCGATTGCCATCATCGAGCAGAGGCCCTTGAAGAGTCCGCTGTCCACCATTCTTTGGACCTCTTTGGGGGACGCGTTCTCCAGTTTGTTCTCCAGGTAACTAGTCGCGGCAAAGAGCTGCAACTTCTTCTTTGGGTCCAACAGAAGCACGTCCACTCCCTGGTAAGGCGAGAACTGCCCATACTCTGCTCGCAGCGCTGCATCGATCTCTTCCAGGGATATTGACGGGTCGCTTACTCCCCCAGAACTTCGAGACGCCATGATGCTTTGCAGCAACCTGTTGGTGATCGTCGGTGTGCTGCTTCAGTGTTCAATTCAGCTCAACTCTCCACAGGCGTACGACCCTGAGTTTGCTCAATCAGAGACGTGATTGAATGCGCCAGCTCATACCCATTGAGAACTGTCACACTCCAGCTTCAGAATTGAAGCGTTGCGCCACATTGTCTTTAACCCTTTGTCGGCGGGTGTTGCCTTTTGTTGCCTTTCTTTAACACTCTATGAAAACGCGTGGCAACAACACCCAAAAGCGAACCCTTTGACCCGAAACTTCGGAAGGAGGTGTCAATCGACCCAAAGAAAAATACAAAAATAAGAAAAAAAAAAATTTTGGGGGGTCCCGGGGGGTTTTGTACGAGTACACTCGGGTACCCCTAAGTTGCCCTGTTGCCCTAGTGGACGGTA